TCTTGTAGTTGGGTATGTATTAGGTGGGTTTTGTGCTAAAAAATCCAAGCTGTTGTAATCACTGTGTGATAATTATTACTGGCCAGTGTTAACTTACATCACTGCTCATCTTGTTTTGTTTAAAGCTGATAGCTGGAGGAGTGGCAGAAAATATATCCGAGGATATGAAAACATACCTGAACTTGAAGGGTAAAGGCAATCACAAAGGCTTTGTTGTAGTTTTATGTAAAATTATGTTTATGCCAGTAAATTGCATATGGCAGTGACCAACTCGAAAGCCTAAGTTCCTTTGGTCACTGTGCACTTTTTACCTTTCACCATCCATGTAACTTGTTCTCTTTTTTTTTTCTGTTCTTCTAATATTTTGTACTGTATGCAGTAACGTCTTGTAATAGTGCAAAATCTGTCTACATGAAGCTAACCTCACATCAGGACGGGGATGGGTGTTCATGGACTTAAAAGATACATGATTTTTAAACACAAACAGTAAAACACTTGCTTCATCTTTCATGTGCAGTTACTCATTCTTTTTTCATGTTTTGAATTTTTCTTGCTAGTGCCCCTGAGGAAGTTAAAAGAGTGTTTAGTCTGGAAAATGCAAACCAGGTACAGTTGACTCCCAATAACTCGAACCTCACGCTAACTCGAACCTCGCGCTACATGCAACTCGAACCAAAATCGATTTCCCCTGGGTTTCCGTCATACATTTACTGTAATTTTACCCTCGGTAACTCGAACCCTTGATAACTCGAACCTCCCGCTAACTCAAAGTAATTTTTTTTTCTCCACAGATCATTTCTATATAATTTTAGTCTCGATAACTTGAAGTATGTTTTGAGCCTTTAAAAATTGGGGGAAAAAAGAGTGTACTGGCGTCCAAAACATTGCATTTGAATTTTCCATTGACTTGTTGTAGGCATATAGTTTACTCGTGGAGGCTGATGTTGTTTGTCACAAATCTAAAGTGAAACAACTTTACCAATCTCAAAACAGTAAAACACATGTAGACTATATGACTTGTGTTGTTACATTACGTTCTGATTTATAATCTAGGAGTATCTTTTAATTTTCACTTAACATTTATGCAATTAAATGTGATTAAAATGTTCATGATGCAGTAAAAACTGTTCTTTTCCTTACTCCTGGCCATTTTCTTTGTGCTCCCGATAACTCAAACTGTTTTTGATTTCCCTTGAAGGTTCAAGTTATCAGGAGTTGACTATAATATTAATCATAACATGAAAGTTATTGGTTTTTCTTTGCTGAATCTGTGTTAACTATCATGTGAAATATTGTTTTTGAACTGTTGTTTCCTCAATGTACTGAAAGTTAAGAAAAGGAAATTGCTTTTATTGCAATGAAACGTTAGCTGTTTTTTCAACTTACACCTCCGATCAGAATCACAAAACAATGTTTCTTTTTTCAACTGTGAGAGAAATGATCTGTCCAATTAAAAGCCATTTGTGAGTTTTGTGGCAAAACTCCTTATGGCTTTAATATACTTGTTTTTGTATCATAAATCACACTTGTTTGCTGCACCAACTTGTTCAATTTCAGACACGTCAACAACTCATGCATAAATACTGTGGGTGCAAAGTTTCCATAAAGTTTACAATATTTGTTCATTTTCTTCAAATAGTGCAATCTCCAGTATACAAGATTTAACCCTGCTTTTCTTTCACTCCTTCAGTTTGAACAGCGGAAAGTTGCCATTGAAAAAGTAAGAGAACAATACATTGATGATGCAGAGAGGAAAAGTAAGTTCTTCTGATGCTGTTTGGCTAATGTACCACTGTAGAGACCAGTTGCTTATGTACCGTTGCACAGAGCACGAGCAAGAAATCATAGGAGGGAAAAGAGATGAAGTTTACTTTTTCTTCCATCCCATCACTCTTCCTCCACCATCCCCCCCCCTGACCCCCCCCAACCCCTCACTGCTCAAATATCCCCCAAAAAAGTGATCAAGAGCAACTGGGGACAAGGTACCTTAACAAGTGGGTTCTTATTATAAACTCTTATTTTCTTCTTTTATTACGATTTTGAATAATTGCCTCTCCATGTTACCTCTTTCTCATCAGTTGCAGAATTGTCACTGAAAATTGAAGCAGTGAAAAAGCATAACAATACAGGGAGGAATTCAAAAAAGGTAACTTTGTATCAGACCCTGTTGGAAGTTAGTGTTAAGTTGAATATGACAGGGGTAGGCTTGATTTTCAACACTCTCTCAGGTCTGGTTTTGTTTCTCCCCGAGAAGAGAACTTTTCGGGGGAGAAGCGTCGGCTCATTTCCCGAGCGGTGGTTGGTAATTGAGCCTAACAGAGGGGAAGCTAGGATTTAATTTTCTTGAAAAGGAAGCTGGCTAATTGCTTATTATTAGGAATTATACAGCTTCCTTGTGGAGATGTTAAGTCTTTGTAAACGCATTCCTGCAAAAGTCCATATTATATTAGTGGATTATTGTAGTCTAAGAGAACAGATCATAAATAGCTGTCACACCTGCAAATAGAGCAGTTTTCACTTGACTGTCGAAAGGGATTGGTTTTGGTTTTGGTTTGGTTTTACTACGCCCTTTGGTTGGCTAGTGTATTTACTTTGGTTTTGGTTTTACGACAGTCAAGTGAAAACCGCTCTATCCACTGTTTCACTGTTCATCAGTAGGATGCCTAAAATGCCTGCAACACTACCCCTACGATACGATTCACTACAATTACAATTATTGGTTAACTTTCCGCTTCAATGAATCTTATACCGATTAACGATTGGAGGAGCCACTTAAAATTTGAGCGCCATTACTGGCAGGACATGTTAATAAGGAGCAAGGGTGTCGCAGTGGTGACAGCACAGGCCTCGCACCAATGTGGCCCGGGTTCAAACCCCGGCATCAACGCCACTTGTTTTTTTAGTTTGTTGTTAGTTCTCTCCATACTCCGGTTTCAGTTTCCCTCTCCTCGAAAGCCACTTTCAAAATCCAATTCGATCTGGAACGCAGGGCACGATTATATAATTAAGTATTTCGTGAGTGAACGGGTTTCAACTAACAATCTTTTCAGTTTGCGATTAATACGAGGCTGTCTTGTGTACGTAACATTGTAGGCATTGTGAGCATGTTCGCGATACCGTTCAACTGGAAGTTGTTGTTTTAACTGGGATCTATGCATTACAGCCTTGCTGATTACTATTTTTGTTCTTTTATCCTTGCTTCCTTTTCAGGATAAACACAATAAAGTATTTCTTAACTGGTTAATAAGTCAAAGAAAAAAGAAACTAGGCCATCTCAAGAACGGTCGATTTGAGCGTTACCTGGTGTTATCACAAGAACTCGACCTTCCTCTTCTGGAGAGCCCGCATACAAAATGGAACAAATACAAGTTCAGAAAGTTTAAAATCGGCGTTGAAATCAAAGAGAAAAAGAGATTCCCTAAGTGACTAAGACTTGAATAAAACCTACAAGTTTAGGTAGAATGTTTGTGCTGGTACAGATTTCTTTGTCCATACAGTACCCAGCTGAATAAGGGTGGATTTTCCCCTAATTTTTACGCACGTACGTACGTAAATTTTACGCGCCTAAATACAATAGAGGCAATGTATGGAAGGTCGCGCGTGCGCGAAAAAGTTGAACCTCGCTCAACTTTTACACGCGGAATTTCATACATTGCTTCTGTTTTATTTACGCGCGTACATTTTACGTGCGTATGCACGTGAAAATTACGAGACAGTGGACATCCACTGTAATACAGGGCCAATTTTTAAAGTTGGGGCGGCTCGGTGGCTCGGCAGACCTGACTAAAAATATACACCCATCTTGTTGTTTAAGACTCTATTAACCTCGACTGACAAGCCACCGAGCCACTAAGATTTATAATCTTTCCTCGTTCCCCGAGCCACTTCTGGTTTTTAAAAGACCTTGCAATATGACCCTGAATTCTGTAGTTGCTCCCTTGTGACAAATCGTTGAGGAGATCCTTCAATGGTTTTAGAAACTTTCAGGTGGACCAATTAGCGAAAATACGTTGGCACCGCTGGAAAGAATCCCTTGAAATAAGTTTGTTACCATTTGAGAGTGACTCAAACTAACGAAGATATAGTTCCACAAAGTCGCGAAATTTTACAGTCGTTTGGCTGGTGGTGGTGGTGGTGGTTGGGGGAATTTGGTTGACAAGTTCTTGTCCCCTCCGTTTAAACGTCTGTAAAATTTTGCGACTTTGCGGAGCTATTAGTGAGCTTAAGCGAAGACGTTTTTGAGCGACTCGCGTCAACCGGAAGTGGTCTTTTTTATTTTATTTTTGGACGGTGGTTTTACCAAAATGTTTGGACAAATCGCCTCTATAATAGTAAAGACACTTACAAATACAAGTTTAGTAGTGTCAAGGTGCTTTAAAATGAAAAAGACATCACTTCCGTTTGACGTGTGTCTCTCAAAAACGCCTTTGCTTAAGCTCCCTGTTAATATCTACGCTGGCTTTAGACGTGTCACTTTCAAACTTGAAGTTTACAAGGAAAACGTAAGCTGCTCTTTTCAGCAGTGTCGATGGGTTATTCCCTAACTATCCTAATCAAAACTGTATATTTATATAAAAAGTAAAAAATATTGAAAGGTGTATTTTTTTGCAGTTGTTTACATTCAGATGCAGTCTCAAAACTGGAGTGCGAGCGGTCCCTTATGAACTAAAACTAAAGAATGAATACCCTTATCCAAGCATCACAATCTACAGTGACTGTGTACTGAAAAATGGGGTACCGTAATCATTATTTTTTAAAATTGGCAGTAACCTTTATTGCAAAGTGTAAAAACTTGCAAAACTGTGCAAGTTGTTCAGAAAAGCGTGTATCAATATGAAATTCTGTGCCCCTTTAGTTATTACTAAATTTGTTACAACATCCCGCAAATAGCTCCGGTTAATTTAATAAGATCACGCTTGTGCTCCCGCTTTCATAAGACAAAATTACTAAATAAGCGGTAAGTTAACTTTAAAAGTGACACTGATTTCTCTTAAAATTAAGGAGTGAAGAACACGCATGATACATTATTCGAAATGCAAAGTAGTGAACAACACTTATTTTTCTCCACATGGGATGGTCCAGTTTGTTTGTGACGGCTTCATTTAGAGCTTTGCCAGAGTAAAATGTAAAATTTATGTTATCAGCAAGCCATATCAGTTTAATTTGAATGCACAAAAACTGACGTGGTTACCTTTACTAAATTAATTTGAGTGCTGCCAATACGGTAGCGGAATATCATGACTGGCGTTGGAAATGTTCAAATTTTTTTCTGACTAACAGAATTGACGACGGTACGACGTGCATGAACTTGTACAGTTTGGAGGGAAAGGCTCCCTGTTCATGTATCATTAAAAATCCAAGAAAAGCTCAGATGAGAAACTTAGTGGTAACTCGCTTTGTGAACGTCTAGTAATTCCTGACAAGTTCTGTGTGCGTAGAAGAACGTTAGAAACTGCAAGAAGCTTGCAGGAGTTGTTATGGTGATACATGATTTTACAGATCGGGATACCGGTAAGTAAGCCAAGTAAAGGCGCACATCACACAAAATGTAGTATACGTTAAAGGACTTTCCCCCCATCTTAGACCACCACGAATGGTATCTAACAAGCAAAACAAACTGGGCATGTCAAATGTTTCAGGTTTTTATGGGGTACCAGTCAGTTCTGAAATGAAGCTCTACTCTTATGAATAAGTGAATTCGACTAACCATGATAGGCATATTGATAGGCATCAGATCATTTGAAATGAAGTACACTGACACTGACTATTTGAATAATTCTCTAAAACCTGTTCAAATACGAGATAAGATTATTTAAGTGTGAAAAAGTAATAACAATACCCTTAAAACGAAAACACAGACCTTTTCACAGGCTTTTGCATCATTCCACAGAATTTTTAAAAACTTTTGTCATAGATCAAATTTTAGCGAAACTCCATTGACACTACTGGAGAGAGCGCCTTAGGGTGACTCGACCCAGTTTTTTTGGGGGGGTACCATCCTACTTTGAAGCTCTCTGGTATCCCCACCTTTACTTTTATCGTAAGTCTAACACATAGAATGGATAATATATAGATCAATCTACAATATAACATAACATATTTGGCGATCGGAGTAAATGTCACGTGGTTATAATGCCACGCCCCTTTGAGGTCTGAGTCGAAAATCTGCTGTTGCAGGCATTTTTTCGTGAAAATCTCTCGGCTACACATAGCGCGCATTAGTACCTTGCGCTGAACAGAGTTTCACCAAAATCGCAAAGACCCAATTCGAGAAATTCAGCGGTTTCCAAATTTAGGTCACAATTTATGCGAAAATGATAAGCAAACTTTACACGGATTATATCTAATAAACTATGAGATTCATCTCTTTATTTTGAGCATCCTTATTAGAGATGGGTCCTTGCAAGTCAGCAAAACGCTTTAGGGCCTTGTAAATGCGCGCGATTTCGAGCAAAGCAAACATATAGAAATTATAGTTTTCGCTATTTGTTGACATTTGTCAGCGTTTAAGAGTCTTTCTCACGAAAAAAGCATTTTCTTAAAAATTCGAAGTTATTTTTCCCTCAAATTTTTTCAGGGCCACAATTGATTAACTAACTACACGGAATCTGAATTTCATGGTCATTGAAAAACTGTGACATTATCTTCTATAAGCCCAAACTTGAGTAAACATTGAAGATTTTTAGCGTTTTGGCTGAGTTTGTGCTTTGGAAGTCATTTTGTCTATTTTTTCTAGTCTGTCATTATACAGCATTCTTGTTCAGCACGCGTGCAATGACCGCGCTTGGCTGACTTCCGAATGCTAACCGAGATATGATCAGTTTGGTACAGTGAGACAGGCCATCGCTTGATACATACAGGTTTAACTCACAATTTTTAATCAATTCTCGTGCTTCTTGTGCCTTTGCAAAAAAATCAAGAAGTGCTACACACTAAATCTACTTACCATTAAAAAAATATCATTTTTTCATATGTTTAATGCAAGCCAATACTCGTGACGGGAATATCTGACTTGCAAGGACCCATCTCTTATAAGGATGCTCAAAATAAAGAGATGAATCTCATAGTTTATTTGATATAATCCGTGTAAAGTTTGCTTATCATTTTCGCATAAATTATGACCTAAATTTGGAAACCGCTGAATTTCTCGAATTGGGTCTTTGCGATTTTGGTGAAACTCTGTTCAGCGCAAGGCACTAATGCGCGCTATGTGTAGCCGAGAGATTTTCACGAAAAAATGCCTGCAACAGCAGATTTTCGACTCAGACCTCAAAGGGGCGTGGCATTATAACCACGTGACATTTACTCCGATCGCCAAATATTTTAAGTTATATTGTAGATTGATCTATATGTTATCCATTCTATGTGTTAGACTTACGATAAAAGTAAAGGTGGGGATACCAGAGAGCTTCAAAGTAGGATGGTACCCCCCAAAAAAACTGGGTCGAGTCACCTTAAAATAGGTGAACGTGATTTGTCTGAAATTAGGGAAGATATAACTCCGCAAAGTGGCGAAATCTGGTATCGCTGGGGGCACAACCTTGCCCACGGCCGCAAAAACCTCTATAAATCTCGCAACTTTTAAGATTTTTTTTTGTACCTTAGTAAGTTTTTCAACCTTTCACTCTCAAACTTTTTAGCATTTCTGGATTTAGAGAGCACTTTCCAGATGGGTCGAATGATTTCCGCATTCTGGTCCATGACAAAAGTTAAAACCAAAACAAAAAAAGAAAGAAAAGGAGAAAACCAGAAGGGAGTATTTTGGCGCATTTTAAGCTCTCGACGGCAAATGTTCAACTCGATCATTTTTGCTCGCAATTTATTCATCTTTGCTGTGCATTACAAAAACTCGTGTTTTACCAGTAAGTGTTCAACTTATATGACGAATGAATATTTTATGTCCAATGTCAAAATTGTTAAAATACTCTAGCTGAGATGTGATCGGATGAACATATTCGAACCACATATGGAACCACATGTGCATCGTATAACCGCGTCTTTTGATCGAGATCGTCTGTGGCTCCATATTTTAGCGAGGGATATTTGGCAGCTGTTTTTGTATATATTTATTGGGAAACAACCAGAAAAGTCATATTATTTAAAAATAATACTCTTATTGAGTGGAGTCTTTGGGGTGAACACGAAAATGGAAAAGCGAGTATAACGACTCAAGCGATGGTTAGTGACATCTCCACGATATAATTCAGTTTCCGTGAAGCACTGCCCGGGTCTTAGGAAGCGTTCAAGTGGAAACAAAATTTAATATAAAGATGTTTTCCATATTTTTTAAGCAAGCACTTGGATGCGACGTAAACGAATTCCACTGGTGTGAAATTTTCATTAGACTACTTTCTTAACGTGAAAGTGTCGAAGAGCATTCAAGTAGCCTTGAAGTGGTCTGTGAAACGGTTTTCCTAATCGGATTG